TATATATATATATATTCCGACCACGACCACTGAGCCAAATCTTGGTTGTTAGGTTAGACACCCCGTACAGGAAATGTTAAGTAAAAAAATTCATAATAAACAAAACTAAAGTTAAAGTAATTTCAAAACCCCACCAAATTAAAAAAAAAATTGACTTCTGTGAATTTTTAAAAAAGGACTGAATGCCTATTATCACAATAAAAGACATACTTTATACTCGCATCGACAAAATATATAAATATTTCTTGAAAGATCGCAGAGGACCTCAGTAATTATGCTAAGGATTTTAGCAGTAAAAGAAGTAGTATAAACATCAAACTTGACAGAGCTAACAGAACGACCAGTAAACATTAAAAAATGCATAAACAGCTAAAATAGAAAGATCGTATTCGCCCACCAGAAAAGCTAAACCTGTGAATTGTCCAATGGCTAATCAGGGCACTTTCGTTTCTGCCCAGCTCTATCACAAAAACCCCTGACATTCAAATAGAATTCTTAAATCAGAGAATGTAAGGAATAATAAGAGATGATTACTTTTGGAATAAAGATAAAACTAAGAGTGCCACGGACAATAAAGAGATCACACCTTAATATAGGAAACAAGCTGGAGGAAAACAATTTAAAAGCACAGTTCAAAGGAAATGGTGAAAGCATAACAGAAGATATCGATAAATCCAAAATAATGAAAATGAGGAAAAAGAATCAGCTAGTTTAACCGCGGCAAAATAATGGAGCTTCAGTCATGTACTCTAGACTGTACCCGATAATAATTTTAAATGAAATTCACAGTGCAGTAAATAACAGCAAAAAAACCACGTAAAGACAAACCGTACTTTGATTAAATAACGAATGTTGCTTGAAGTGACTGAACCATGAGAAATGTCAAGGCAACATGGCACTTCAAACGAAAGCTACGTGTAAGATGTGAATAAAAGCTTCCTTCGCAAAGCAAAACTTAAATATAAAAACTCTCCTAGACTGTTCCTTCGAAGTTAGTGAAAGAGAAATAAAAGCTCTAGCAGAAGCCTTGAACTAAATTATTTCCTACACAATACACCGGAAAAGCCAATAAAGCAAGTAAATAAATTAGCATTTAAAAGAGCAATAAATCTCGTTGATGACAACAATTTTTTATACTAGTGAGGAAGATTGTTCTAATGAATCAGTTAAAGTTGCACGTCAAGAAAAAAATGACTTCTCCTTCCACAATCAAATAAAAGTTTAAATAAAAGATTTTTTATGTCACA